GTACAGTACATTTTTTTCGTATCTGTCATTCATTTTTTACTGCACTCCCAGTAAATTTTACTGGACTGAACCGTAATAGTTGGGGTTAGGTTGTAATGTTCCATGCTTGCTGCACAGTCCGACAATTTTTTGAGCGATTTACGTACGAATTTTTCATGGAAATTTCTCTTCGTGTACTTGATTTGAGTATGCACGTTATACTTCAGATAAGTATAATAACAATATACTTAGAATGAGAAATGATTATGTACTCATAATAATATGAGAGAGAGTGGTAACATCGACCAGGGTAGACGCATGTGTTTAGCTTTTCGAAGGTCTAGGCCGTCGAATTTCATCCGAACTACATATTGAAAACGATTTCTGGTACTCACGATTATATATTTATTTAAAGTATTTTTTATACTTGATCCTAGTATATTCGATTTTCGATAAATATAGATGAATCATTGATTTTCTCACGATTCTAATAATACGAGACCTACTGCGCATTACCGTGATTTTGAATTTGGCGGTTTTAAAAAAAATTAGTCTTACGCGTTTCGAGATATTTCGACTCGGACGAACTTCATTTTTGTGTTTCTACTTTCATAATAAGGATTTATTTGTTTTTCTTTCGTGATTATACACAGCAATGGCTCATAGAGTTTTAATTTAAGACAACTGCACACAGAGAAATGAAAACGTTTTTAAATTACTGTTCAGAACTCGTATCTTACCCTTTTGGAAATGTATTTTACGATTGAAGTTGAAGCAAACTGAATAATTGCACAGTTTTAATACCGTTTTAATCGCGTGGGAAAAGAATTATATAAAAGAAATATGCGATCTCTCTTTGATTCAGAGATTCCGTGCAGCGAATGAAATTTAGGGGTGAAGAACACTTGGATATTGTATGAAATTCCGTAACTAGTTAAATCTCCACTTGAAATTTCCGGGGAGTTGGTCGGTCACTGGGGCTTTACGCGGTGTATTATCACAGAAATGCGCGGTGGAGGCTGTCTCAACACTTGCCACCATTTTTCTCAGTCTTCTCACTCTCAAGAGAGTGAACATTGCAATCAAATCCAGTGAAATGACTGTTTTTAATTTCTTTTTCGTATTTTCTTCTGTCCTTTTACGGATAAATATAATTGTTTGACACATGAAAAAATATCAGAACATTTCTTACAGAGTTTTTTAATGATTTTCTTCTAAGATTTTTTATAGGATTTCTTGGTGGATTTATGACTTTCACGTGACTACCATGCGACCCTTGTTTGACCTTTTTCGATTTTCATATCATCCATTTGACCTTTATTCAGGTCTTTTTAACCTTTCGTCACTCGAAATTTTACAGGAAATCTTATATGCAAATCTTACATGAAATCTTATAAGGAATTCAATCGAACATTGAATGAGCAAAAATCTAATAATAAAATTGCGTTTTATAAGTCCTATTTGAAAAATCTACCGCGAAATCATCGAATGATAATTTCTTTTATGTCATTGCGGTCGGTAAAACGCGTTTCTAACCTCGCTTCGCTCGGATAAAAAAGCTTTTTCGGCCACAATGACATAAAATAGCATCATGGCCACGGCGAAAAAAGTGATTCTGACTCATGCGCGTTATAATCCTCGTCTCCGACTCGGACTATAAAGTCGCATTCGTCAGATTCCCTTTTTCCGTCCTAGGCGTGAAATATACTATATTACTCCCTCTGGTAGGCGCTATATAAAAAAAACAAAACATTATCCAGTCAAATTAACCCCACGACAAACTGACAGATTTGAAATTGAATGAAATTCTTATTTTTTAACCGAGGCTCGTCTCATCGTGCAATTCTATTGGCCAACATTTGGGTCGGAAAAATAATCCCTCGAATACCACATAAGCTTCAAAATTCGCGCTCGTGATTTTTTAGCCTGAAAAACTTGACTCCTTCTGCTAGAATATCAAGTTAAAATTCATAAAAATATATTGAACTGATTTATGATGATTACAATAAGGAATCGATATGGAGGGCTTCATGGAGTCGCCTCAGAGTTTGTATAAACATAAACAATGGTTTCACAAGAACCCATTGTAGGGTTCTTTCTTTGGTGACGAATGTTCTTGGGTTTTGTGGCTAGTCTTTGGTCTCTTGGAGACATTGGTAGAGTTCAGACGGTATTCTTCCTCGTGCAATTTTAATAAAGAAATACTGATTAGAGTTTATTAACTCTGTTTTAATTAATTTAAATATCCCATTTCCAATATCTTCATTTGTTTGCTACGAACCGATGGAGAAATGCCTGATAATTTTTAAGCTCTTGTGGTATTATAAGTCGAAATCTCATATCGAACCTTATAAGAGAATTCAATCGTACATTGGATGAGGAAAAATCTCATAGGGAATACTAAATCCTATTTGGAAAATCGTATAGGAAATGAGCGGATTCTCCATAAGATTTCCCGTAGGATTCCAACATTTTTCACCCCATTTTCTAATGACACTTAGACTCAACTCTCTCCGCACCATAACTTCTCTATGACTTGCGATTCTAAATGTCATGAGAAATCCTATAGAACATTGAAGAAGGGACTGTTTGATTTGATAATCCTCTTTCAGGTATTTCCGTAAGGAAATTATACGATGTTCTATAAGATGTTCTATTCTATAACTTTTATAATTCTCGATTGGATATTTCATTCTAAAGAACTCGATTTAATGACTGTATACAAAAAATCTCATAACTTCCAATCAGTCAAATCTTCTAGGATGTTCTGGTTCAGTGATTTCCTAAATAGAGTGATTCCTATGATTTCTTCAATGATTCTGATGAATCGCAATGATTAGAAATCATGAGTTGTGTTGAGCTTTCGGGATTTTCCGTGGAATGATTGAATGATTTCGTGAGTTATTCCCCTTCGATAGAATAATTCTCACAGTAGACTTGGTAAACTACGAGAGGTGAATTTTGTCAATATAGGATGTCCTAGTGGGACTCGTAAATAGCATCATTCCTGTCTCTAGAAGTGACGGCACTCTAGCAAATGTGGTGCAACCCGGGGACTTGTGGGTTTCTACTGTCACGCATGCATACGTCATCAAGTGCACAGGGGCATGAATGTTATAGGAGTAATGAAATGGTCTCTGTGTCGTTTATGACCAGACGTTGGACAAGTTTACGTGATGCGCAAGTATATAAGGGAGGGTGTTATTTTTTTTTTTTCTCTGGGAGATCAGATAGTGGGCTATTTGTGACGGGTGTTTTCGGTTAATGAGTCTTTTATGAGGCGCCGGAGAACTGTCGCAGAAATGTTGTGGCTGGTGTCTCTTATGCGGCATTGTCATTATACTAGAAAGGTTAATGGAAGTTGCTCGGTTTACCGGTTTCGAGAGATTATCTTCTTGTTTATCTTCAAGCATGATCATTCACTCTCTCATCACTAGCCGTAAAATTAATTTCATTATAATTTTAATAAGTAACAAAGTGCATGCGACTTCGCTTTTTCTTCTGGTTTTCGATAAATAAGTCGATGGGTGTCAACATGTGGATCATACATTACCTACATAGTGAAGAAGTTTTTTATTATGTAATCCTAATATAAGTACATCGTACTATGTATATAACAAGTTATTTATTCATCTCAACTTCCATACAGTCATTTCAGTGGAAGTGCAAAATTCCCGTAAAGATTTCCTTGGATCATCGATTGATCGATAATATGATGTATTGATCCGGTTACTGGTCCGGAATAGCAAATTAAATCGACCTAAAATAATATCTTTCTTTAATGAATGCAGAATAATTAATCAATTATCTAGAATCTCCAGTTTTTCATACTGTTGGAGGGTTTTCGAAATTTCCATCTTAATGTCATTTAAATTTTCAATTATGCGCGGTTAAATTTAATTCCAGTACAAAACGTCCAATACATTTTCCATTTATATTGAAAATCCAAGAAAAATGAGCCTTTCGTAAATGATTATTGATTTTTCAATGAAGAATCGGATTCTTAGACGTATAGACCTGATAATTGAGAATAATTTGTAATGATCTATTTTATTAATGATTCTTTTAAAAATTTTAACTTTTCTACTATGAAAACTCTCTTTAATTGTTAAGTCAGTAGCAAAGTGGTAAATGATAAAATAAGTGCATTTTTTCGAGGCTAGTTTCTGGCCAATATCTTGGAATTGAAGGGACATAACGAATTTTTCATATAAAATTTTTTATAGAAACGGATGAAAGGTACATAAAGACATTTATGAAAAGATCGTTATTTTCTTTCAATTTCGGAATATTGGCTAAAAAGTGGAGTAAAAAAATGCACTCATCCTAATTTACAACTTCACTACAGTTCAAGTGAATAACTTTTTAATACAGCAGCGATCTCGATTACTCTCTCGTTAACATGTTTTACTTATTGAGTAAAATGATTTTCTGCGTTGTAATCACTCCAACTAACCGTGTAAAGTTTATCCCCTCAATTTATCAATAAATTCCCCTCAATTTATATAATTCCAAAGAGCGATCCATTCCACAATAGCACTGAACCCTCATAAATAACAGTGAAAGTTGAGGGTGAAGTAAAAAGGGTCGTGATGAAAGTCCATAATGTTTGAAAAGCGTCTTAGAAATTCAGGTGGCGTTGAAAAGAGGATAGAAATTTATCGTGACGCCATTACTCTTGGGCGTACCGAATTCAACCAATAATTACATGGCAGGGTGACTGCTGAGTGGTTGGGGTTTAATTTTTTTTTTGTCATATACATATTTAGAAGGACGGAGATAAAGTGGAGAGAATAGCTAGCGGTTGAATTGAGGGAAAATGGATGATTGCCTATAGAACAAAGTTGAGATCGATTTCACCAGAGACCGACTCGATTTAATTAAGCTACCATCCTCTTTCCCCGCGATTCAACTCAAGGTTAATAGTGGAAGTCGAGGAGTCGAAGGGCTTTGGGTGGATTCAAGGGTGAACCACAGGAATGAGTACAATACTGTTAATCAGTGCCTTCTCGTGCACTTACCTGTACACCACCAACACCAACTATGAACAGAAGTTGTACCATGAAGAGAGCTGCTAGAAGATTCATCAGTGTTGTACCAGCCAAACTCCGTAAATCCGAGAATAAACTGAAAGTACATTGAAATAAACAATTCAATGTATTTTCATAATATATTATTCAATTATTCGTCTATTTGAAGAAGCATAATTTATATGATTTGGTAAATTGACGGTTGATCGTTATTCAATCATTTTTTTTTTTCATTGGTTCAAGCCCGAAATGACTCGAACCAAGAGCATCCGGCTTTGATGAAAGTATGCACACATTTGAATATAGTTCTCGTATTCCTTTGTTAGTCTAGGGCCATTCAAACTTGCATCTACCTGATTAAAGCACGCGCAGGATTGACTCAAGTGCATATTCGATTGCTAATAGAATTTTCGAAAAGCTAATGAAGATTTAGTGCCGTGAATTGGCAATTTCGTGAAAAGAGTGATTCAAGAATCAGATTGGTTGCTAACAAAAACTAGTTCGTTGCGAATTTCAATCGACGCTTTTTTTCCCGATGTAAAGTATAGATCAAATCTCTTAGTCGATTTTTGAGGCGTTTCTTTTTTAAAGTACTCTTTCTATTAGTGGAATGCTATTGATCGAAATGTCATGTTTCTCATGAATTCAAACTTTAATTAATCTCCCTTTTTTGTTTCTTTTTTTACTCTTGTTAATTGAGGAGAAAGGCATTAGAATAAAGTGCAGTGAGCATAAATTGACAGTAAAATAAATTTGCCACCTGGGGTATAGAGCGAGGCAATCTTGCACCGGGTCGTTGCCAGTTCAATCCGATAAGCTCAATAGCCCCAGGATCGTACCAATTTATCAATCTCTCTCACTCTCTCCTCTCAACCTCCCACTCGGCTCACAACTCTTGGAGAAAACCTCTTGTGCACATCCTTACATTTCTCTTTTTTTTAGTCATGAGAAAAAAAGGCGATAACGTATTTTAAACTTTTAACACGAGTGAGCCTTCGCAAAAGCTCAACAATTGCTAGACTCAGTTGAGCTGAATTTTCTTCGGTGTAAACTGGATATCATTACACTCTATTTACTTGGTTTTTCGTTTTTTTTTTCTTTCTCTTATTCTTTTTTTATTTGATCGGGAAAGTTGGGAGTGAAAGAGGAGGCTACTGTGAGAAAACTTTCATTTTTATTTCCTCACTTTGGGGAATGCGAATGCGAATAGAAAGCCTCTGGGGTGTAATTGAGGTTTTGTTCTAGTTATTGCGGCTTTTTCGGAAGGAAAATCGATGGATATTGGTTTCTCCTTATGCCTCGTATGGGAATGTGAATGATCTACATTTATCTAGGTTAGAGATGAGCTGAATAGGGTAGGAATTTTGCCGAGTTATGTTGGACATTCATTCTGCCCGCAGGTAGTGGGAAATAAATACATCGCAGGGTTTACCGCCAAATTGACACAGGACGTGACATTTTTACTTTTGCAGGGGGGTATTAGACCTTAATTGCCTTGACCAATGATTTACGGGAGATATTCCCCATGGAACTTCACAATTCAACTCACCTTGATGGCAAAAAAACTTTTTTGATAATGTTTTGTCCAAAATATAGCAACTGAATTTGATTGATTTTCATTTGTACACGGAGAGAAATATTTAGTAAAAATTACGGAACTCTCAGTTCACTTACAGATTACGGAGTTGATTCGAAAAATTTAAGTGACGGTATCGTTATTTTTCACCGATAATTCAGATAAAAATTACGGAACACCGCGGAAAAATTCCGTGACTTTAGATAAAAATTACGTGACAGTTCCGTAAAATTTCCGACAACTACATTTCGCTCCAGAATTACGGAAAATACACGTAATTTTTATTGAATATTTCTCTCAGTGTAGGATTTAGTTTTGGTGCAGGTCCTTCGGCCCTCCTTATAGTTTGTTCTTTATCAGTACTAAGTAGATTTATCCCAGTACTATAATAAATACTTGAACATCAAGACACGTTCACCCAATCGAGTCCATTTTTCAATAGTTAAGTTGGAAAGTTTACTATGACTTTAAGAAGTCTTTGAAAATAAGAATGTTTAAAATGTATTTACCTCTTATATGCAAGAGGAAGTTTGAATTTAGGAATATATTTCCCTGTTCACTATGTTCCGATAATCATCTACTAAACTTCAATGGATTACCACGCACATATTTTGCCAATTTAGTAAAAAAATTGTATGGGAGGGATGAAGTGTTCAGAGCGAATCGTGATGTCACTCCACCAAGGTACTATCAACTCCGCGGGTACTTCCAAACTGATTCTTCAAAAGCCGTTTTTGAAAGTTCTTCGCGTTACAATTGTTTTTGTGGCGGTCTTGCATTGGTAGAATGATAGGGTGTGTTTTTGTCCACTTGTAGCTCTCATCCTGTTCTATGGAAAATGTTTATGCAAAAAATGGTCTAGGCTTCTTGAATTCTGAGATATTAGCTAGAATCTGCTTTCGAAAAAAAATGCTCTGATCCTATAACTTACAGCTTTGGTACTAAATTAGCGTTGACATTTTCCGATGCGTAAAGATGATGAAATATCAAATCACAGAAATATCAATTTTCATAATTAATTCAATTCTAAATATGAAACAAATGACATAAATTTATGCAATCACTCGTGCCAACAATTAATAATTCTCCCAGGCTGAGCAAATCTCTTTGTATTAGAAGAATTTTATCGCTCAGTGTGAGAAAATGATCAATCAGGAAATTTCATGACGTAAATAATTGACAAGAGAATATTTTTGTGTATGAGATAATTACTCTTGAATGGAATACGCGAGTGAATACTTGCGTGTCTAATCGACTCATGTATTATCAGGTATTGGTCGATACCTCGAAGATACAGCAATCAGGGTGACAATGCTTGATAATTACACATAGGAATGCATTAGTGGATAGCATATATATGTATATATATGTAGATTCATGTGACAGGGGCATTTCATTCAGCCTCGGGATATATTCACGTGATATCGCGGAATTGTGGGGGGAGGAAACTACTGGAACTGCGGTTCACCAATCATTATTATTTGATTATCGAAATAGTCTGTGGTTGTTCATTTCTCTGTGAATATTTGTTGCATGAGAATTTGGATGAATAGGTATTTACACATATTTACATACATGTGTCCACTGAGCATGTCATTATATGACGTTGAGATATAGTAAATGGATTCAATTAATGATATATATTACGCTGTACTAATTAAAATTAACGATCCTGGCATTAGTACGGATTACAAATAGAAATTGAATGCTTTTTTCTAAAATCGAATTTCTTCTTAGCTTCAGCCAATCGTTAATTCCGCATCTATTGGTTTGATAAATAATAATTATTAACCCTCAGTGATAGGAAAAATACAAAAATACAAAAATACAAAACTTCATGTAGAGAGAAATATTCAAGAAAAATTACGGAACGCCTCGGGTGGAAAATATGTTAGTTGAGCTTGAGGCTTGATCAATTTCAACTGATCAATTTCAACTGATCTGGCAGAATTGATAAGAAACCGATCAGTCTTCGATTTACTCAACCTGATCCGCACTACTCAAATCAGGTTCTGTTATGGTGAGCTTGATCTGAATCTGAAATTCGTCCATCTGCAGTCATTTTGATCAAGTTCGCATTAAGGTGACCTGCAATGATTCGAATAAGATTCTGATCAGGTCAACCTCACCTGAAGTTCTGCTGTCCCAGCAATTATTCTGACTAAGTTCGGATCAGGTGAACGTGGACTCAATTATTAATTAATTATCACTAAAAGTATAATAGATGAAATTCTAATCGAGTAAATTTTCGTTTCTTAAAGTGAACAAATATCCCCAATATACATTGTACAAGCAAAACCGAGTTGACTCGATAATAATAACACGATAATCTAGTGGTTAGGGCATATGATTAGTACTCGTACGGGTTTGATCCCTAGTATCGGAAAAAATAATTAAGTTGGTAAATTAAAAATAATAAAAAATAATTAGGTTTTCTCAGCATTAATTATCGTAGGCATTCATTGATAAAGGTGATGAATGTAAGAAGAATACTCAATTTTTTATTTCGAAATCAAAAAATAATTATCAATATATTTAATTTTGCTTATCAAATACGTATCAAAACATTTTGTTTGATCAAACCCTGATTCTGCACGTCTCATCAAATCGAGATCGAGTCAAGGCGTTACATTCTTGATCAGATCTTTACGTTCTTTGCGTACGTATCATAAATGTCCTAGATTTGGTATCTTGAGAGAATTCTGAATTTACACCATATACCAAATAAGAATAAAATTCATAAAAAATTTTTCATCTCATTAAGCTGACAAAAAAAATAAGATGCCTCGATCTGAATTAAGTAGAAAAAATCGTTTCAAGTCAGACTAACGTGCCAGTCCGAGTCGACCCAATTAAGTCCAACTCGATTATACACAACAATTTTCATTGGCTATAAAATGAGAGATTTTCATCTCTGAAGAATTCTACGGGTTTCACGCGGTCCAATTTTATCGTAAAAATGTCTTCACGCCTGCATTTTACCACTCTACTCATAAGTCATTAGCATATCAATTATTCACCACTCGACGTACGTCAGGCTCAAGGGGAAAACACCCGAGTGCTCTCCATTATTATAATTTTTTTTTTTTTTATACATTGGTTGACATCGAATAATTTAACGGTCATTCCTATTTTTTTGTTAAAATATTGAAGGAGTTATGGGAGATAATGGATAAATTATGAAATATCTATTGCAATTTTAACGCTTGAGTGATTATCTGACGGTGCGTGTTTCAAGTAGAGTGAGGGATTGTGAAATACTGGGTCAGGTCGAATTCTAAAATATCCTGAGGTTACGGATCCCTTTTTCGTGTTTTATGGAGTGAAAAGCTTTTCCACTTCGACAACACTATACAGCTTTTTGTCATTGAAAAATTCAATACTCCATTGTTCTTCTATTCCGATGATTTGAAAATCAATTAAATACTTGATTTCTTTATTTAGTTATTACGGTGGAATAAATTTCATTAAAAGTTGCTGTGGAAAATTCAAAGGGAATGGGGAAAAGGGAATTCAATGGC